CAGTACACATTTTGTTTCGAAGCGCTTTTTCTATTCCGGTTATCGGGCCCCTGGGATATAAGTCCCTCCGTTTATAAGCCCTTACCCAAACCCATTTACAAAGATGTATAAGCTTAGGTGTTGAACCCTTACGTATTCCGCCGCCTTCCTGAGAATACGTTGCAGACAGAGTCACACGGGAGCGGACGAATTAACGGCGATTTCTATGCTCAAGCAAGCAAAACGAACTGCTTATGCAGCTAACGTTTTCCTATTCGGCTGGTAATTCTAAAGAAATGCTTTCAGGAAGGTTAGAGCAAGGCGTTAGTTTCGAAGAAAACCAGTTAGATTCTCTGATCGCCAGGCCAGAATTCTACTCCTGGGTATGTAAATACTGCGACGGCGATTTGAATATCAAACACCCGAAACGAACAGACGTACACAAAGACCTCATTTAATTTCATATCTTGAAACTATTAGTATAGCTCTGTTAAAACGAAAATAGGAAACGTGAAACAGATACACACTATCCAACTGGCTCCGCGCGGAAATGTATACATTATTAAAGTAAATTGACAGACGCGAAGATAGAGAATGATTATCATTTTAATACGACTTGTGAATTGTGAGTTTAAAATGCTCGCTGTCGTGACTTGTTTTAAGTTAACAAGTGTTTAAGAATTTAAAATCACAAAAGGCTAACCTTTATCCATGGCCAAAAGACACACACAGCAATTCAGCAAAGATAAATGAAAGAAGCAAGTCTTGTATTGCTGTCCCTTGGCTCAGAGCACCAAGAGCGACAGCCGCCATATGACGTCAACTGGTTTTGTAAAATAAGTCACGCGAGATTAGTCACGCGAAGCTTTTAAAATCTTAATAAAATATTTCATTTTGTAATTTTTATTTCATGTAATACTAAAAAATAAATGGAATGATGTAAACGCAGGGTTTGAAATATGGAATATTTTAATCAGATAAAAGTGAAACTGCATCATGTGTCTCCATTATTTGTGGAGCTGCTGTGTAATAGTCCAGAAATGCATGCTGGTAGTAGCAGTACTTAACTGCGTTAAAATCTATTTTGCTTTAATTTAGTTTTTACTTTCTGGGTATCATTTCGTTTTAGGGGGCTCTACTGTTTTTACTTTCACTTTTCTTAAACTATAAAATCAAAAAAATATAAATAAACCGGAAAATAGAGATCAAGGAAATAACAGCCACAAGAATAATACCCAAAATTCAGATTTTCAATAGACAGTTTTCAACCACCATAGGTTAAGGTACATGTAGCTATGTATCAGAGTACTTGAATTTTGTAATCTTATTGGCTGCTAAATTAAATGTCAGTTTTACACAATAGTATTATTCATGCTTTGTATAACTACCTTGATTCTCAGTTTTATTTCACCCTTTTCTGTCTACTGCTTCTGTTATGGATAGTGTAATTGCTTGTATGATTTTGGTGGTATGATACTACAACTCAACTTCGGAATTAAGAGGCATAACATTATAGGCACTATGTTATTACAGACGATACAAAACAGTAGTCAGGTATTCTAAAGTTTTCTGTTTAAAGTTTTTAGCCCAATCCCAGTTTAGTCAAAAACCAAATTTTGGTTCTTAGCTCCATTGCTAAATGGACATGTAAGGACTCTAACATTTACAAAATACCATAGAATTTTGCTTAATCATTGTCAGCCTGACGACGTCCACTGGGCCACTGCTTAACCCTCAGACATACACACAGACCCCCACCGTGGTACAAGGGGGGTGGGTTGATGGACCCCTCCCTTCCCTTTAGTTTTTGATATGCTGCAGTGTTTTAAATTTTGCCTTCAGCGGAAAGCCTTTGATCTTCTCTACCCGATGAGGTTTATTTTGTGGGTGGTGCCACTGCTGGATTTCTGTGACATCTCAAAACAAGGTTGCCATCTTGGCCACCAGACTGGGTTTTATCAAGAATTAGAAATCAGGCTAAAAAAAATAGAAAAATATTTTTTTTTGCGCTTAACTTGTAAAAAACACATAATTATTTACTTTGCATCATTCTATCCACAAGTTTTACTATTAGTGTTGAAAAAAGTTGAAAAACATGCACTTTCACTCAAAAATGGCTTGACCACCTGCTACTTATGACATCATATCTCGTAACCATAGTAACTGACCATCACTAAACTTGTCTCAAAATGTCGTGAGGGATAAGAAAACAGCTACAGAAAACTTCAGGTGCTGATGTTTTATTGTCAAGGAAAAAAATCAGAAAAACCTTAGGCCCCCCGTACATCCGAGGGTTAAAATATGCCTCGTTTTTTTTTTTTAAAACATTACAGGAAAACAGTCTTTGACCCAAGACAAGAAACAAACTTCTTTTTTTATATCAAATATAGGAAAAAAAGTTTCAATGAAAAGACCTTTTGCAAAAACAACAGAACAGCTCCAATGCTCAAAAGCAGGCAATTTCACTCCTGATTCTGGTTACATGATTCTTTATTTTCAAGGGTCTGTTTATTAATTCACCTTCTGAGACAGAAAAAATATTTGCTGGGATTAATTCCAAAACATGGAGTTTCAACAAGCGCATGGAAATCTCCTCTGCATTGGAAAGAATGCTTTTGCGTGGTGGATCTAAGCTTGGAAAAATGAAACTTATGATGCAGACACACTTATAATTAATGATACTGCATGTGGTTACATTTTTATCTCGACTGCCTTTTATACACTTTAATATAAGCCTATGCTTATCTTGCCGAAGCACACTGCCTCCGTTTGTCTTTACACGATTAAATACAAAGCCAGTACATGTTCACAGAAACTTTTTTGCTACAGATATGTGAACAGCCTCTTGATTCAACTTAGCAGTTAGTAAATAATCAGCATAAGGGTCATCAAAAGTGTCGAGTCCCTCTTTGCCCTAATGTATATACAGTTGAAAATATAATGTCAAACAACCCATGGCCAAACTGTCTTTATAACAAAAATGGATTGGAAATTAATAGCGTGCGATCATGAATTTTGAAATTTGAATTATGTATGTATTCTGAAATTTACCTTCATCACGGGTTTTATCTCTTTCGAAGTTTAGCTCCAATGTTAAAACAAATTCAGCTGCTTAGGTGAGAATTTCAACTACAAGCACTGAAATCCTCGTTCCTGGAGTTCTGCCATGCTCTTGGCCTTAAAATCAATCTTATTCTTCTGCTTAGACATTTTTGAACCTTAAACTATCCGACTTTCAAACAGTAAGAGGGAAATAAAATTTATAAATTACAGTCAAGCCAGGTCAACCGTTCCCCCCAAGATTCCATTGATGAGTTTATTATTCGAAAGTTGAATCTGTTGGTAGTTGTAGATGTCAGATTCATCTCTGCATTCGTAATGAGCCGTGAATTCACACACAATTCAGTTACAAAATTTCCACCAGCTCAGTTTCCCTGAATTTGATGTAAATGTCTTCTAACAAATTTAATCCATTCAAAGATTTTCAATCTGACCAAATACAGGGAAGTTCTCGTAAAATATTCACTGCTCATTGCGCATGCAGGAATGCCAATTTGAATTTGACAATAGTTACGGGAACGATTAACGGATTCATTTTTCAAATATTTAATTCATTAATAGAATCTTGGGGGGTACGCTTGACCTGCCTTGACTGTAACGCGAATTTGAAATAGCGACTCGTAGTTCGTACAAGTACAGTATGTGGCATAGAACGGATGTCTGAACTTTAGAAGTTTGTTTACAACAAAGATCATCAAAAGTAATGTGAAACCACATGTGAAATCTGATGCGCAGAAGGTGAATTATGTGCACCTTCCCCTCCTCCCCCCTAGTAATGGCTGGAATCTGAATGCTCAACTTTTTGTTGGTGCCCTTTGAGAAATGAAATTAGAAGGATTCATTATTTGTCTGCACCTTTTAAAGAATACCTGACGGGTCCAATTTCGGCTTCTTTGAAGCAGAATCAGAGCTACCCTATTCAAAAATCCCCCATTCTTAGGGGGCTGGGGTGCGGATAAAGAATGAAATGTCCCCAAATGATCATTCCAACAGATTTCCATTATTTTAAAACTTAAAATGTGTTTCTAGGTTTAGATTTTCTACGGAGAGCAAGGAAACAAAATACGGCAACAGTCTGTACTGTGAATTCCTAATAGTAAAACAGCTGTATTAAAGTGGTTCGCTGGGGACGAACCTTGATACCAAGCCGGAAGTGAATCGATCGTATTTCTCAACACAAATTATAACACCTCAGCTAGGTCGGTTAATGTATCATTTCAGAAAACTGTGGGGAGTTATTTGTAAGTAAAGAGAACATTACAGCTATTTGTGATAACAGAAAGCAGAAGCAACCCGCCGAACAGCCCGAGGGATCAGCATAGGTATGGAGGACTCTTCTAACTGAAAGTGCTATGTTAAAAAAAGTTTCCTTACCCCGCTACAGCTCCAAGTTCAGCTTTTCGTTTGCTTTTCAATGTTCTTCCGGTAATCTCTTCTCTAATGTCAAAAACAATGCACCTATCTGAGCTATTAAACCAATGCCCGAATAACACTGCAACCAGACTGACGCCGTCGCCATCGTCTGGCTTCCTCAAGAAAGTTCTCCATGTATGCCACATGAAATATCCTGACAGCCTCCAACATACAAAAACATACCGTAGGGGACCGGGATAGCAGAGGAAGGAGTAGGGGGGCAGATGGCAATTTTCGCACACCCAAATGAATAGCCTGCTTGGTAGGCGCTCGAAAGGGAAGGGGAAGGAAATTTAGGCTACGCGCTCACACTGCTGTCATTTGACAGGGCCACATATGCTTAACAATACAAGCTTCTTATAAACAAGCAGTTTTATAGTTGCTTATATCTTCTTCAGAACATGTGTCGTGAAATCAACTGATCATAAGGAGCAGCGTTTAAGGTGGGAGTCTGGTAAAAAGCGTTGTTTTTTGTTTATTTCCCGAACCCTTTTTTCAAATATCTAGCTAAGATTTCATTCAATCGAAAAATGACTCAATTAGTTTGGAGTCGTTCAATAATTTCTGGATGATTTTTCGAATGTTTTTAATGTAGAAAAATTAGGGGGTGTATTTGGGAAAACTGGAAAATATTGGATTTGGGGGTTGTCAAAAATTGAAATAAGAAGTAAATAATTACATTTTACGGCAAAGTGGTCGCTCGCTTACGGAAGGTGGTGGTCGTCTACGGCAAAAAACCAAGTTAATACGCCCATAGTCACCTGACAATTTGGATTGAAACGTACCCGAGCTATGAGACACCTGTGCATTTATAAGAGCAGAAGAAAAAAGTCTCACTTTTCCTTGTCTGTCCTTATTTTTCTAAGGTACGAATGGCCTTGAGAAAGTTTGTGAGCCAAACAAATGGCAGATTCTTGATTAGTCACTGAAAGAATTCCCTCAATATTCTCACGACAAAGTTATCAAGGTTCTTGTTTGCCCTGACGACAGAACTGAGAGAATTATCTAAAAGATATCTGGTCAACACTGAATGAAGATAGCCGAAAACTAATGCATCCAGCACTGTAGGTCTAAAATGAATAAAGAAATAAAGAATTGGAACAAAAACGTTTATAAACAGGTGCACTAAATGCAGTAGAATGAAGCAAAATACTGACAAAACATTAACTGTGAAACAGAACAACTTTGTAACCCTGGGTCCTCTTTCTGTTTTCTGCCTTTCGCAGACTTTGCTTTGCCTTTTTTCTTTGTCTCTTTCAAAATCCCTTCACTTGGAGCACTACATGCACAACCACATAAAATCATGCCAATTCTCTGGACACACATCAACATTTTCTTTTCAGCACACTGACACACTGAATGCACCAGTTCTAAAGCCTCCCCTGATTGCTCGGGTCTTGAAACGTACGAGAGATACAAATGATTTGGCAAAACTCAAAGAGTACGTAATCAGTATGTTGTGAAGTGTTGTATCAATACAGTTTACACATTCGCATGTCTCTGGATGACCAAGAAGCAGAGGTTCTTGAATTTCATTTTTGGACAGATTGGTTCGGCTGGAAGGTTTCAAAACTGGTTGTAGGAGTCCATTAAGCTGGTCAAGCCGACTTTTACACTTATCACCCTTGCCTTGTTTGAGTTCCAACTGAGCAATGTTAATGACAAATTCTGCAATCCTAAAGGAGAAGAATTAAAGTTCTATAAACATGCAATCAGGTCGAATATGGGAGGCAATGTTATATTCCCTTACGTAGTTTGCGTAAAATGTTCATCTCCCAAGCAAAATGAAAATAGGATCTAATGCCTGGCCAGTAATTATTCTTTTGCTATATAAACGTCACCAATAACAGTGATTTCAATTTAGCTACTTCCATGCTGCAACCTTGCAATTACATTATCTAACTAACAAAAAGAATTTAAAGCCTGTAATAGAAAGAGAGTAATTTTGTTACAAATGGTTATGGTGAGTTCTGGGACTCATCTTGCGAAAAATCATGAGTCCTTGAGTCAAAAAACGATTCCTAAATTGAAAATGCTTGGGCCTTTATGTAACCAGCAATTAATCCAGAGACAGACGTCAAACCTTTTTATTACAGTTTACTGAAATTAAAATACAGTCCATCTGTATATTTAAAGCCCAAAAAAGACTAAAATAAATATGCATCTTTAAACAACAGCCACAGAAATCCCACGAACAGGATATTATACCAAAAAATCATCTTCAAATTGATTGATCGTTCTTTGCATCCTACAGGACACAATTCATGAATTATTTTGCGTCTTTGGGGATTTTTATGCATCAGGGACGCAGGACGCAGAGGAAACGAAATAACGTCTTTCAAAGACCAACAAAATGAATTCATTTTACTGCCTAGGAACTAACATAACATTACAGTACTGCTGAAAATGAACAAAAAAGTGCGAGATAATTACGGCTGACTACTGTGTATTGGATCAGACAATCTAAAACAAGGCTGGTTAAAAAAAAGCATTATAATGAATACCTGTAGGGTAGAGCAAAGTGTCTTGCCAAAGTTAGACCATCTACAAACTGCCTGAATGCCTCTCTTGCAGCACACTGTTGGGCATATATCTGGCCAACATGTAGTAATGAAGACAGAAGCTCATTCAGGAGTGACATATGGAAAAGGCTTTGATTGACACTTGGTAGAATAAGAGGGCCCTCGGCTGTAGAAATTGAAACAAAATAAAGTACTTGAAAGTGTTGTGAGGTAGTGTCTATGACGATAAAGAAATGAACATAATTGTAACAAATAAATCACACACGTGAATAGAAGATAAAAAAGAACAGGGAAAAATTCACTTCCATTTAAAAAAAAATCATACATGTCACTATAATTTGATCCATTAAAGTTAGAGACCTCTTTAAACATTCTGTAAGCAAAGACACCTTTGGCCTTGTTACGTTTTGGTGAATGAATGGTGGTGAATGTGGAGAAGTTCAACAGAAGGTTGCAGTTTGATATCCTTATAAGCATTTAAGTCAAAATCAAGGCAAAGCAGGACGCCAGGCTTCACTTTTTGCTTATTCAATAATACAGTGTTTTGGGAAAGGAAAATAACTGTTGCTGAATGAAGAGAGGGCAACGGCAGGCACGAAAAAGAAACACGTCTGACAAACTATTCAGTGACATGTCCTGAGAGGTAATAATTGCAGGCTAATACTATAAAAGAAAAGGGTCATCTTTTTACCTGACACATTTTTATTCTGGTTGCCCTTCTTTCGCCCACTGCTGAACACATCCTCTCCAAACACCTCCTCAGCCATGTGGCTTAACTTGTGAAATCCATCAAGAGCACATTCCAAAGCAGTAAGTGAACCAACAACAGGATCTTCACAAAAGAGCAAGATCATTCATGATAGAGTCAATGGGTGCATTCCTTTGCGATGATCCGGATCAGGATTAGTGATCTGAGATCACTCGGATCATAGTAGATCAAATGAACTGATGAATCCACTCTGAACAAGGATTCATCAGTTCATTTGATCTTCAATGATCGGAGTGATCTCGGATCACTGATCCTGATCATCCCAAAGCAACGTACCCAATATTCCCTTAATGGACACCTTACTAAATTCAGTGTTCAGGACATTATTCGTTCCTCTGTTACATGTAACCACACAATGACAAGTTTGGTACATTTCCATGTAGGGGTCCAAAATTAGATAATTGATCTCAGATTTTTGGATTTCTTAGGGGAATGTTGGGAAATCAAAAAATCTCAAAAAGATTTCCTTTGACAGTTGATGGTTTTGATGTCAAACAGCCACCTTTTCCAATGCTAGACATCAAAGATGCCAAGATCAAAAACTGTCAACTGCCGAACCGTAAATTAAAGCAAATATATGTTTTGAGAACTATCAATGCTTTTTGACTTTTCTCAGCCAAATAAATTTATTCAAAAGAATGGATTCTCGAGTATTCCAGCGGTACTTGCAGAATCTGAGGTGGTGAGATGGTTGGCCTCATATTTTTACAGGAAATCCTGGTCTTTCTTTGGATCCACAAGCAAAGAAATGCAGAGATCATAAAACCTAAAAAATCGTGATGTAATTTTACCCATGACTATACTTTTGGCCCAGGATTCATAGGATGCAAAACTTTAGATTTGATTTTGTCAGAGAAATAAACCGTTGGTACATAACGCTCATTGTGATGTTGGTCTAACTAGAATATACAATGTACATATTACTAGAATACTAAAACAACATATTACTGGTAAATTATTAAATTGAGTTTTCAACTCACCCAAAGCAATGCTGAATTTGTGGAGTTTAGCTGGGAGCATGGAGTATTTCGCACACAAAGACATTAATCTGGCCTTCAGTAAGTGGGACTTGTAGCTCTTCTGAGTCAAAGCATCACTCTGTAACACTTCCATTAAACACTGCTCTCCCTCTGAGTACTAAACACAGTAACAGATAATTATGTTTAGTTTAGAGGAAAACAAACAGTCACTCAGATACTGATAAATGTGAGGTTACACTCTTAGAGGCAGGGACTGGTAGCCAAGGCTGTGCTCTGCGAAAACATTGACAGAAACCCAATGATCTGAACATGTGAAATCCAGGGTACCTATATGGAGCACAAGGATTTTGTTACAAATAGTTATGGTGAGTCCTGGGACTCATCTTGTGAAAAATCGTGAGTCCCAGTCCAGAACCAATGAATCCTAAATTGAAAATGTTTGGGCCTTTATGTAACCAGGCAGTTAATCTGAAGACAATGACTCAGAATCTCTGTATCATAGTATACTGAATTTAAAATTTGTCCTTCTATTTTAATCATCTCTTATCTAACATTCGCAAGTGGAATAATTGTTTTATTAAAAATGCCCACAAAATGTTGAGAATTCTTTCCGATTCTATTTGTAAAAACAACCGATTTTCAGCTAGTTTTTAATTTTGAGCAGACGTATACAACTGCACAGTTACCTTATTTGGAGAGCATGGTATATAGCTCATATACCATGATGGCTAAGCCAATATGATTCAGTTTTTAATAGTATTCATTATCCCTCGTGCTTAAAGGAATGAAGCAAAAAAATGATTCTGGAACAATAGACCTTTTAACCAATACAGCGGCCATATTGAATTAATTCGATTTAAGGAGTATTATAGGATGCCAGGGGGCTTGAGCACATTTGGTTTGTATTTTTGAGTGCTTTTCGGGACATTTGTTCTTCAAGTTTTCTTAGGATAAGATTGTAATGGGAGAGTAATCCTTGTGCCATGTTTGGATGTAATAATGATCGCCTTTTTCTAGTTTAGTATTAGAAATATGGTCTTTCACTGTATATTTCTCGGGAAAAAGGTGATTATTATTACATCCAAACACGGCACAGGGATCTTTTTTCCCACTACAATCTTATTCTAAAATAATTCCAGAAAAAATGCCCTGAAAAGCGCTCAAAAATACCCCCTGGGCATCCTATAATACTCCTCAAATCGAATTAATTCAATATGGCCGCCGTATCGGTAAAAAGGTCTATTGGCTCACCTTTCCTGCGACTAACAGATAGTGACCCTTTGCCAACAGAAACTGGACCATAACTGAACCACTTGGTTTAAGGGTTTCTAACACATCACTGGTCTGATGCAGCAGAAGACTAGCATGAGAAATGTCCAGTACGTCACACAGGGTATGAACAGCTTCACTACAGGCAGATATTCTATTATCCAGCATACTGTTGGTGCTGATCGTTTGGGCAATGGCAGCAGCAAGATGAAGAGCACACACCTTCTTGAATGGCTGTAAAAAGTTAAAAATTACTCAATGAATGGTTGCAAGGAAAACAGTTAACCGTAAATCCTTCTCCTACTGTAAGCACCCAGAGGGTTTATTTATTTGAAGCACACTATGAATTGCATATTTTGTCTCCAGATTATTTCAAACTCCTGAAGGACACATTAAGATATAAAGTAGTTTCCCAAGGGACGCTGCAAGTCACTGAAGTAGATAATGCATGATTTTCAGATGTTGATACGATTCCTTTTACCCTCAGCAACTAATTTTAGAAAGTTATTTAATCTTGAGATTAACTTGTATTTATAATTATAGTCTTTTCATTGAAAACATGTTTTGATTTTTTGGATGAGCACTGCTTTTTTAACATACTACACTGTTATTGTTGTTCTTTTAGAACTCATCAGCAGAAAGAACCTAACACAGCGTGTGTCAGTTATTGTTCCATGAGACAGTCCCCAGAAACAGCCTTCTATTTCCTTTCAGTTTACCTGGTTGACAAGTCCAAACATTCCAGCAATAATCAGAAGGTAATGGCAAGTTTCCTCAGGGTTAACAAAGTGTTGCAAGTCAATCTGCAAAAAGAACAACAGATATTGCTTAAATAAATGTAATCTATAGTATTTATGCAGACTAATCAAGTTTCCAAACTTTTCATGTTTTAACCTGTGAGTAAGTTTTACGGGATGAGAAAAAAAGAAGTGCTCTCTTTTCTTGCCTCTGACCCAGTAGACATGAATCATAAAAAAAACAAACTGCACAATAATAATGCCCAAACTCTACCTTTCTGTCTTTCCCTTCTTGCACTGATCTATTTGCTAACACTGTCCACATTTCCAATGCTGAATGAAGGGATGACATAAATGGCTGCTCCAAACATATCCCTTCAACCTAAAAAGAGAAGTCAAATTATATAGGAATAAGTTCATTATGTAATTACAAAAGGAAATACGACTATAAGCAAAGGGAGCAAGGGGTACACTTTATCACACCTGACCACCCCCAGCCCATTCCCATATATTTCTGGCCCTGGTTGTTCAAATGTTGGATAGGGCTGTTCACTGGATGAATCACTATCCAGCAGATGCAATAACAAGCAATTGCGCTATCCACAGGATAGTGATTTATCCAGTGGATAGCACTATCCACCTTTTAAACAACTGGGGCCTGATTTACATACCCTCTGAAGAAAAAGAAAAATTATGTACAAGTACCTCTTCTCTGTCATAACTTTCACTGAGCTCCTCTGCTGATTTTGCTTCTGGTTTGTCTTCCATTGTTGCTTTGTGCTCTAACAATGCCTGCCATAAATATGCTGCAGCAAGTCTGTCCTGCACAAGTGACAGGTGGTTTTTGTCGTCATCTGTTTTAGCTGCTGTGTCTGCCAGCTGCTCCAGAATTGCAGCTGCTTCTTGACAGCACTCAAGTGCAGACCTAGAGCAAAGAATATCAAAATGTTTAGGGCTATTGCTGAGGGCTGGCTGGGGATTGGAGTATTGCCCAATTAGAGATATGAACCATGAAACATCCTTCTCCACTTCAACAACCCTGATGACACTTTATCATCAATTATCACAAGAGCATGGAATCCACAGAGAATGGATACCACAATGCGTCACTTGTGTTCAGTCTGTACTGTGTAAAGTTCAAGTGAAGAAAAATCTCTTTTCAAAAAATGTCTTTGCCTATAAAAACAGTCAAGATTACAGTAATACTACTAAAAGTGACTGGCTTCATAATGGGCCATATAACCCTGAATGACATTGTAACAAAACAGCTGGTTGAATGTCCCTTTACCTTTACCTCAAGTTACACTCTGTGATCAAACAAGAGCATGTTTGATGTTAATGTATTTTTGCTATTCCAAAGTCATTTACCTAAATGTAAGACAAAATGCCACATACTATTAAATCCAGAACACACATAAGCTTTAGACTCACTTCTCCTCCTCAAGATCTTTGTCTCCAAGGCCATGCAGTGCCACACCAAGCTCAAGCATCACTGAACCATAATGAAACTCATCATCTTGGATAATGTACAGCTCCATAAGCTGTCTGATGACAGAAATTTGCTCCATTGTGGTGTCATAACTGGAAAAAGGAGAAAAAATAGACCACTTAATGGTGTACAATATCAATTGGCCAGAGTGGTTCAAAACGGAATTGGGATAAAGGATAACCCAGGATCATCTTCGTTGGAGTCAGCAACAGTCATTATATTCAGGACAACACTCACCCCGACAATCATAATTATTGTACACGCTTATGAAGTGACTCCTGGGTTCAAATCAACCCCTCAAATGATAATTGAATACACATGTATAAAGGACAAAACATTTTTGGGAGACTGAGTACTGTAAGTGAAATAGAAGAGAACTTTTTTAGGAACCTCATGATCTGTATACATGTAAAGTTGTTGGGTATTTAACAATTATTCCTCGAGCCCGAATGGGCTCTGAGTCAATAGCCCATGAGGCCGAAGGCCGAATGAGCTATTGACTCAGAGGCCATGAGGGCCAGAGGAATAATTGTTAAATACCCAACTAGTTGGTCAAAAAGGTCGAGAATAAAAAAATTTTAGCTAGTTAAAGCTAGACTTTAATCCTTTTTTGCCGCCAAATAGCCCGTGCTTTTCGGTACTAGTGGGCTATAACATATAGCTTAGTAGTAGCTCAACCAATCAGAATGCAGCATTGATATGTAATTAGTAGGAGGGGAATTGCACAGCTAGGAAGTTCTTTTGGTTCTACATAATGTATTTTACTTTTGTTTCCTATGAGAGTAGTTGGGGCTCACACTCACAGTCGCTGGCGGAAATCCCTGGTCCCTGTTTCTTAGTGACAGTCCTGACAGCAATACATGCACTGTATGTACACTGTACTTTCACATGAGCTTACAGTGCGACCGGGAACACCGTGAAGACTTGAAATATCTCAAGAATGTTTATTGTGTTATGACTAATCACAGCAAAGGACACGTGAACTGGCCACGAAACCACAAACTAACTAACATTCTTGCTTGCGGTTTAGTTTTCTCACGCCTGATTGGCTTTTCTCTTGCAAGACAATAGCATTCCAGAAATATTTCTGGTGCTCATGGTTTTCCCAGTTTAACTGTATTTATTTCTTTCCAGGATCTTGTTCATACTATATTGTATGGTAATAAAAGAGCTAAATGGACAATTAAAATGAGGAACTCTTTCCCTGTTTCTGCCACAAGTCCAGAAACCTTGTGATATCTGTCTTTTTGAGAACTTACTTCTTTGCCTTGTAAGAAGCAAGCTCTTCCTGAAGAACTAAACAAAGCTGACTGCTGTTAATATCTTCAGCATCTTTCTGTTCTGCTAAAACACTGCTAAGGGTTCTATGGTAAACAGAGAAAAATAGAAAGACAGGTAAGACATCACATGACGTATTTGGACTAACAGAATCTCATACTTTTTAGAAAAGAGCACCTCACTGAAGTATTCATGCAGTTGTAATAAAATATGACATATTCATGTATTCTCAACCAGTGGTGCGTGTGTTGTTTTAATCAAAAGTAATTTTTTAATGAAAATTCATGACAAACCTTGATCTTTCAGCTTGTTTCTTTTCATCTTGCATACTTTTCACCAGCTCATGTTTCACTGTGGTCCATTGTTTGATCTGCTGCCTCAAGACATTTGCATCAGAATCAGTTTGAAGTGCCATGAAAACCTGAGTGGTAGCTGTTGTCAGTGCACCAGCCATCTGTTTGGCTCGTCGCTGACAGTCAGTCAGCAGTGCAAATTTTGTTAGGAGCTTCACCTAAAAGAAATCAGTTATATTATTAATGATGGCATGACAGGACAGATTACTGTAAGACCCATCTGGTGGGTTAACATCACAAGTGTTTGCTTCCATTTCTCAGAAAAAAGGAAAATCATTGATGTGGCATTTTATGCACAGTGCAAAAAAATGAATCACAAGACTAGTATTTAATACCCAATATGAAAAAAATTATTGGTGAGCACTAGTATTATACAAAGGATAAATTTGGTAATCATCTCTATTGGGGCTTGTCAAAATGGTACATCATTTACCTTGTGGCACGAAATTTTTGCGGGTTCTAATTTTTGCGATTTTTCCAGCACACATTTTTCCTGCAAAAAATTTCTCCACAGTAAATATTTTGCAACTTAACATCTTCCAATCGATCATCAGAACAATCAGTCATCCCAGATGTTACTTTAATCGAATGACAAAGAAAAGTAATCTGTTATACTGGTTTTACATACAGTGTAGGGTACACAAACTGTAGCACTGTTTGTTCCCGCAAAACACAAAACTTGCAAACTCCCACAAACATTTCATGCCACACAGTATGTTAGAAAAATTACAAGGCTTAAGGCCATATTACCTCCACAATCCTTGTAAGAATTTCCTCATCAGTCTTGCCATTAAAGCACCATACTCGCAGCTCTTCACAAGCAATAGCTAACAGAGGAACTCCTTCAGTAAAGCAATCTCTCTGATATGACACACAGCCCAAATTGTACACATTGCAGCCTAGCCAGCGGAGCTCGTTTGGAGACAATGGGATGTCTGGATCATCAAGGGCAGAATGAAGTACAGAGTTTGCTTGTTCCACTACTGGAATACAGTCCTTAAAGATCTGACATCTGCATAGTGTAAATAAAGAATGTGTTAACATTAACAGCACAGTAAACTCTCTCAATATTGATACCCAGTAACATTCGCCTCTGTAGTTCTTTGTAAGGGTCCACCAACAGCTGTACATTCATTCATTCCCCTATTCTTTATAGATATTCTTACTAGATTTCTCTTAGTCTCTTTCCAAGGACCTTCCCACACCCAGACTACTTATGGTACATCTTCCCCAAAATGCCATCTTGTCAGAGATATTGCCTACAGTGTACATCCCCATTTGTGTGTAACACAAAGACAAATTCTAGAGATATTATTTTGTAATTTTCTTTCAAGAATCGGTAGGCTGATCGGCAAGAGTTGAGGATACTGGATATGCAAAAAAAGTTTGAGCAGTGTTACATGTATAATGTTATGGTTCAAATTTATCCTTCGTTTAAATTTTATTTCCCAGGGTGCAAAGAAAGTCATTTTTACAGCTTGTAATTTGAGCAAGCTGAAGCTAGCATTTATTAGCCCAAATGTCATTTCAACTAGCCCCTCAATTTTTTTTGATGAGCAGAATTGATTTCACAGTTCTTCTGCAAGTTGAATTCCTCAACATACTTCACTTGCCCATCGGGCAAGTTAAGAACAGAATTCACTAGCCCAATGCCAAAATCCACTAGCCGCGGGCTATCAGATACTACTTTCTTTGCACACTGTTTCCCTTTGTTTTTCACTCATTTTCATCTATTAATATGCCCCAAAACAAAGAGAAATAAAAGCACAACATAATCCTTTCATTAAACTACAGTGTGTACACTGTAGTTAACTGTTTTAAAGTTTTGCGATACCTGTACTACTGACCTTGAATCCCTGATTGAACTTTTTGCATCTTTTTCATTCTTCAACTGATCTTGATATGAAGAAATAACAAAACTAAATACTGTCATTTGCCGTTCTGTGGTCTTTAGAACCTGTTGTTTTAGCTGTGCCACGACATCGTCATGTTTGGATTTAAGCAGCTCTGACTTAAGCCGCTCTGACTGCAAAGATAAGACTGAGATGTAAGACTGCAGCACTTGTACTGTTGCTTGGAGAGTCTTCAATGAAAGAGTGGGTGATTTTTCCTTACTCTTTTTGCTACTTTCATTTTGCAAATTAATTCTGAAGTACTCCAGGGAGTCTGAAAGTAATTTTAACATTGGTGAAGGTAATGTGCTACACCTCAGGATCTGGGATATTAGCCGGTTACTTTGGAATAACATCTGCTGAAGAGATTCTTGAGTTTGAGATTTTATAGTAGAGTTCAACAAAATAGCTGCCTTGCAGACTAAACACACACAGCAACAAACTTGTGAAGGTATTTGTAGTTTAAAATGTCCATTTTTGCAATGGTTTTCATTTCCTGCAGTTTTCAACAGTTTATCAAACACAGCCAAAGCTTCTGTTGAGTTTCCAGCCTTATTACAAATTCTGCCATAATGAAATCCAAGTTCAGCCAAGAGAACTGTAAATTCTCGTCTGTTTGCAATCAGTTGTTCTTGCTTGTTCATGAGTGTACTAAAAATGGTTTTAAAGAAGCTTGCTAAGGTTTTAAAATCAACATTCTTGAGCCCACAATCCACTTGAAATTTTGTCCCACATTTCAGAGTTCTATCTACCAAGGATTTTAGTGAAGAATGTACATTTGCTTCTGCTTGAAAAAGTAATGAGAGCTTTCTCCATTCTAACACAACACACAAGTGAGATGGTCTTTCCCCTGGAGGTACTTTTGCCTCCTCTAACTTCCCTCCTCCTTGAAGTAACAAATCAGATGAACGTAAGCAAAGTGATCCAATTTCCTTGTCCATCTTTTCACTGTCGTAGCTCTTCCACGCCTTAAGAAGCTGGATGAATTTATATAGGTCATTAGCATGATCCAGAGCCCTTTCAAACTGTGCCTTGGCAATGAGCTGAGCAACAATAAGGTAAAGTGTTTTAGCAAGCTGATCTACTGAAGGAATAAACTTCAGGTAGTTTCCATGACAGAGTGATAAAGTGTTGTTGAGAAGTGTCCCCACTGAAATATGAACAGAAAAATTTGCAAGTTACATGTAACTTTATAGCCCTCTATTAATCTCACACTTAAAGCAAATGTGGTTTGCTTATCGGACAACTTATATTTGACCCATATTTAAGCCTTACTGGCTCTGGATTATCAGATAGCACTTTGCTGTGCCCTGCTTACACCATGTTGAAAATGCTATTTCCTTCCACTGTGAAATGTGTTGTATCTACCTGGGAGTCCCAGATCATAAGTAGGTTGTAAAGTTTTATTCTTCAGCGAAATTTTCGTTTTACCTTTTTGCAGATGACACAAATTTGTTGTATGCCGACAAAAATCTTAAATCTCTTGAAAAAATGGTCAATAACGAACTGGTCAGAGTCTCGGACTGGCTCAATGCAAATAAGCTAACATTAAATGCTAAAAAATCAAACTTTGTTATCTTTTGTCCTCACCAACGTAAGATGGACCATTCGGTCAATATTCTAATGTTTGATAATAGTGATCACATTCTTACTTCCCTTGAGTGTAAGGATCATGTAAAATATCTAGGTGTCTTACTGGATAGTCATTTGAGCTGGAAATACCACATTGACAATGTAGCACTAAAAATAAGTAGAATTTCATTAGTAAGGTTTTGAAGCTGGTCCCATTTTAAGAGTAAGCATTAAGCTTATTTTAGGAACTCAGAAAAGACCTTACTCCCAAACAGCAACTAAAGATGTTCACATGCTTCATCTTACCTAGTTTCAAGGCATCTGTGACCTGAATAAGGTCATTTCCCTTGGCTTTCACATTTTTCAAGGTCTCTATAGCACACCTTAGGAACTTCGTACAAAAAACGGCGTACTTTGATACAGTTTCCTCTGTGGCTTTGCCTCCTTCTTGGCAGCCATTTTTGTTCTTTAGCGGACATTGCAGTGGAGCAAGATAATTCTGCAAGTTCCAGCAAACAATATTAAAAACAACATATCAAGGGTGAAGGCTACCCCATTTAAAATATGGAGTTAAGAAAAATGAGAGGCTTTGGCAAAAAAGACGTCTAAAATAAGTGTAATTTATTAGGTTGAGGATCGCTTTCAAGTGACACTCATTCTATGACCTGCTCATGAATGTAGATGCGCGCGATTCTTGCAATTGAAGCTAGAGTGTAACAAGACGCTCGCTTTGAAATGAACTAAATTTTTATTCAAGGAAACGTTTTTGAAAGTGAGTAGCCTTACAAATCGTAAGTACCTTCGCTAACTGAGCTACAAAGCGTCCTCAATTAAGCTACCATAATTTCTCAGCAGCTTAAATTTAGCAAACAGCTAAGTTTGATCAACTTACCTTCGTTTCCTCATAAAGACCATCTATCTCTCTGTTTAGAAGTGATTTGAGGATTCTTTCCCCTTGCATGTTTCTGTAAAGCTCTGCCCATTACCAGTTCGTTTATAACATAGTGTTTTACAGCACACTTTTGATGGTGAAACTCATCAAACGAGTCAAAAATGGCGCCTTCGTGCTTCCGCCAAACAACGCTCGTTCCCAGGGCACCGCGCATTTTAAGAACATTATGTCGTGACGCAACGTGCGTGACGACTCAAAAGTTGTGTGACGACTAAGCCATCCCGTTGTTACTGGCTGATTAAGACTTTTTTGGTCCTGTCAGCACAATTTTTGCTTTAAATAACATTCGACTCTAATTATAGTCACTTTCTTAACGTCAAATCAGGAGCCTCGATGTTCTTCCCGACTAGCGGCAAAATTTTCAAGTCGGTTTTTTCCAGTTTGTTTTTATTAAGGTTAAGTCGACAGGTTAAGTTTATTGTTTTGCCATCAGTTTTCAGCTAAGTACAAAAATATATAACTTCTATGTTGTCCTCGCAAGGTGGGGCCTTTTTTGTAAAAATGACAAATGTTGGGGGTGGAATCTCAGACGTCCGAGATCGTTCCCGGCCCCTTCGCTTCTCTTCCTCAGGCTAGGCGTCCGTTACTCAGAACAGAACATACATCCAAAAAAGAAGAAAAGCTAAGAGCCTAGATGGAACTTACACGAGAAGTCTGCGAATGGTGAAAAATATATTCTGGAAAGACAAGCAAAACACCTGCAAGGGCTGCAAGAGGGAGGTAGTCCGACAAAAGCCTACATAAAGACATTGCGGAGGGATATTGGCAGGGAGAACGTTAGAGATCTTGTAGCCCTAGGTACAAATATTACCTGAAATCGCCTAAATATGTTTCTGGAAATTCCCAATTTTTTTCTACATATCTGGAAAAAGTTCTAAAAATCTCAAAAATATTTGGCTTCATTTCACAAATAGTACAGTAAAAACACCAAAAATTAGCCTGTCACCTGAAATGGCAACACAAATTTCAGGAAGTGACGTTTTTGTATACAACATACAACAAAACTCTAAACAACTTCACATAAAGTTGGCCTTATTTCAGTACCCCGCAGCCTCCAAGAAGACTAGGGCGCTGCACTTCAGTACAGGGAGAGTACCTGAAAAACGATTCGGTGCTGGAAACCTAAAGCGGTCCTAAAGGGACACCACTGTTTCGTCCGTGCGTGACTCAGAGGGAACCTCATCAGGAACTGTATGGATTTAATACTGCAGCTGATCTTTCAGCATCAGTCATTTTGTTAAACATTAGCCACATGACATATATTACTAGCAGTTTCCAGTGGCAAGTGAAGTGCTGGGAGTAAAGCATGACATTTCAAATAATTTGCATCAGTTACAGTTTATTTAGTCTGCTACACAGCCGTTTTTAGTGTCGTCACGCAACGCTCCTCCCCACTTGATCAATTAAAAATAAAATACAACAAAGCCTGGCTGAATACAAATGTAGCCACCGACTGAGAAACATATTGCTTCAATTCATGGGAATTTTACCTTCACTTGCATTCATACGCTTCGCTTGCAAAAACGTGGCTTTCTATACGAAACAGGATTTCTCCCGGTGTCACTCCCTATTTGGGTTCTGAGTGTTCTTTAATCGGTTGACTGCGAACCAAAAAGCATCGATACTTGAAATGGAAGCAAATGCGGTGCAAAACCTCGGCTCGATTACTAGCCGCTGTTCGGGAAATGACCCTGCGCTCCTTTCCCCCCAGGAGTGGACCGAGAGAGCGGCGGAAATAGAGCCTGGCTGATGTCGTCAACAAACGAATACCTAGAGTTCTTGTTTTCCTAATATGGATTGTAAAACCTTCGTGAAAACGACTATTGAAACTTCCTCTTAGTCTCATAATAAAACTATATGTAAAACATCTGCAATCACTTATAAAAAGAATCGCCAAAAGGCGATTTTAACTGGGCCGCCAATTTTCCTGGGGAAGGGGATGGCTGCAGACTTAGTATATGTCATTTGTCAAATCATGGCAAGAGAAAGGTTGCAGCTCACAAGCTGAAAGTTGGCAAGTGACAAATATACCGATAAATGATTTTGATCGACAGGTAAAATGTGACGTTTTCGTTGTTTCCATGGCAACATGAACGATTGAATACAACCTTAAAATTTCACTTTTACTCAGTTTACATCAAATTCGCTCATTAGATTTTCCTATAAACTTGCGCACAGCTTACTATAATTAATCATTACCATTAGACGGGTTTTCAGATAATCAATAATATAATTGTATTGTAATTGTTAAATGTATCACAAAATTCTTCTGTTCAACTTCCATTTTAAAGTTCTCATTATTTAAAATACGATAAAAGTCAAAATTCTGCAAAATATCACAAAATTTTAATGAGTAGATTTTGAGAAATCGTCTTCTGTGTACCATTGCTTTTTTCGCCGACATGTTTGTTTGTCTAATTTAAAACTCGCGCCCTCACGCGAGTTACAGCTGACTGCCCGCAAAACTGTCTTCAGACGAAGCACAGTTTCCCCTCTACTGAAATGTCTGACATGTCCGTACTGACATGTCTGCAAATACTGTACTGTACTGTAACACTGTACTGTACTGTACTGACATGTCTGCAAATTTTTAGAAGACGCGGATCGTCAGCACGCGGATGATAGTTTTGGTTGTTTTACGGCTTATAGACTTTGAACGGTCGTAATTCGACTTCATATATATATTACGGATTGGTTTTTAAGGTGGTCTTAGTTTTCGTAATAAAACTAAGAGGGGTCTTTGTTTTCGAAATTACGAAAACTAAGTCCCCTAAAACTCGGTGGAAAGAATCGGACAGAAGATAATTTGACAGATTAGACCTATTTCGATTACAATTTGACTTCATATTTCGACGGATTTGATTTAAGGGGGTCTTAGTTTTCGTAATCTGAAAACTAAGACGGGTCTTAGGTCTTAGTTGTCACACTCCGGTAACTGACCAGATTGTCACGTCTATGACCACGTGTTATATGATCGAGAAGTAAGTTTCTTGTTTTTCGGTTCTAAAAAAAGAATTCGTGATAAAAGTAATGCGCTTTTGCTGCCCCAGCTATATTTATCGAAAATGCCGCTTGCATCTGTGTCGGTTTTTTTTTTTTCATTCGGGGTGGAAATAACGGAATGCGATTGATCAGGGTGGCGAAAGGGGGGTATCTATCACACATGGCGCTGACTATTTTAAAACCATCGAGCATCACGTAAATGGGTAAAAATATTGCAGAATTGCAGTTTTCATGGCAATATCTCAACCCATTGAATAATCGACCCCGGCTATATCAAAATACGCACAACTAATCGATCATGTAACAACTAATCGATTTTAGTCACAACTGAACGAAAATACGCACAACTGATCGATTTTAGTCACAACTGAATGAAAATACGCATAACTGGTAGATTGTGCAAGCCGAGTTTACGCTGATCAATAGTATAGTACCCGACAACTGATCGATAATAAACTGTTCGATTATCAGCAAAACTGATCGAAATTTGAGACAGCTTTCCATGGTTGATTACGGATATATGATCGATTTTAGACGACAGATTACCGACTGATGATATGCTGGCTGATTGATTTTACGTATCTGGCAGAAAATTAGCAAAATATAATAATATACCACCGCAGTTCAAATATGAATTATTTCATATACTTCACATCATTTCACTCCTCACGGGAGATATGAACTCAATAAATTGACCTCGCTCCCAATGTGTGGCTTCATAGCTCAGTTGGTAGAGCAACGCACCGGCAACGCGGAGGTCACGGGTTCGAATCCCGTTGAAGCCCTGATTTCTTTTCAGGCTTCTTTCCAATTGCTTAAATTGGAAAATTCACTGCGATGATCATTCTTCACTTTCATCTACCACCGCAGTTCAAATATGAATTATTTCATATACTTCACAATAATATTTTAATTGATCGATAACTGGCCGGTAAATCCGATCCGCAAAACTGATTGATTGGAGTTCATAGTAAACTATTGAGAGAGTGTTTTTAATAATGACGACGAAAAAGCAATAATGGAAAGATCAAGGAGTCCGTCTTTCTGATTTTAAGCGCTTATATACATGATTCAGAACAGAAAAATATCAAAAATTTATAACCAATTTAAAAAAATAATTTGAAACAAACGGCGCGCCATAATATGAATCTTTGTGGCTTTCCGGGTTTTGGGAATACATGAGCTCCCCTCCACCGATAGAATAAGTGGGTAAAAGAGTAGCGGGCGTGTGCGGGAGAATGTTGTAAGTATAAAATGATAGTAAAATAGGTGAGGATTATAGTTACTCTGGCTATGTTTGTCATCAATTTTGTACAAACTAGGTTAACGTTAGCTTAATAAGAACACAATCTTCTCTTTAACTGATGAAACAGCTTAGCGTATTCTCCTCTCAACAACAACGTTACTGAGGGAGTAAAAACGACTTGAAGTTACGTCTGAAATTCAGGCTAGAAAAAACTGGCCCTTTTTCACTTTGAAAGCAAAAAGGCTAAATTAGACATTAAACATTTATTGGTTCTTGAGGATGAAGTCGTCTTGTACTTGGGATTCCCTCTTGCCACTGTCAACGGTTGTGGAGCTTCCGGTTCGTCCTCTTTTTTCTTTGTTGTATACGAAGAACATTGCCTCAGTGTTTTCTTTGATATGAGATGAGCCTCTGTGAGCTTAATTTCCTGTACTTGGAACAGAACTTACACCAGGTTCATTTTCAGTTTCGTTAGTTTTTTGCCTAAAGCCCATTTCAAACTTAAGATGTTGCTTTTTCCTCTCCCCTTCATTCTTGAAGATTTCCAGTCTTCTGGCATCCTCTTCATCAGCTGTAACCACACTAACATCAGCTCCAAGGTCAACAAGCTTCTTCACAGCTTGTGAGTTACCATGTCTCCGGGCCACTTGAAGAGGAGTCAAACCTTCTGCATCATGGATGTTTATGTTTTGTACCCCATACTTCACCAGGAGATCGATTATCTTACTGCAATCTCTTTTACTACGAGCTGACAGGTGCAGCGGGGTAGAGCCATCTTTACCTTGAATATTTACATCCGCGTTGTGTTCAAGTAACAATCTACAGATGTTTTCGTTACCCTTTCTGGCACACCAGTTCAAGGGTGTACGTCCACCTTCATCTTGAATATTTACATCCGCGTTGTGTTCAAGTAACAATCTACAGATGTTTTCGTTACCATATATGGCACACCAGTTCAAGGGTGTACGTCCACCTTCACCTTGAATATTTACATCCGCGTTGTGTTCAAGTAACAATCTACAGATGTTTTCGTTACCTTCTCTGGCACACCAGTGCAAGGGTGTATCTCCAGAATAATCTTTCATATTTACATCCGCGCTGTGTTCAAGTAACAATCTACAGATGTTTTCGTTACCCTCTCTGGCACACCAGTTCAAGGGTGTAGATCCACCTTCATCTTGAATATTTACATCCGCGTTGTGTTCAAGTAACAATCTACAGATGTTTTCGTTACCCTTTCTGGCACACCAGTTCAAGGGTGTACGTCCACCTTCACCTTGAATATTTACATCCGCGTTGTGTTCAAGTAACAATCTACAGATGTTTTCGTTACCTTCTCTGGCACACCAGTGCAAGGGTGTATCTCCAGAATAATCTTTCATATTTACATCCGCGCTGTGTTCAAGTAACAATCTACAGATGTTTTCATTACCCTCTCTGGCACACCAGTTCAAGGGTGTAGATCCACCTTTATCTTGAATATTTACATCCGCGTTGTGTTCAAGTAACAATCTAAAGATGTTTTCGTTACCCTCTCTGGCACACCAGTTCAAGGGTGTAGATCCACCTTCATCTTGAATATTTACATCCGCGTTGTGTTCAAGTAACAATCTAAAGATGTTTTCGTTACCCTCTCTGGCACACAAGTGCAAGGGTGTATATCCATCTGCATCTTGAATATTTACATCCGCGTTGTGTTCAAGTAACAATCTACAGATGTTTTCGTTACCCTTTCTGGCACACCAGTTCAAGGGTGTACGTCCACCTTCACCTTGAATATTTACATCCGCGTTGTGTTCAAGTAACAATCTACAGATGTTTTCGTTACCCTCTCTGGCACACCAGTTCAAGGGTGTAGATCCACCTTCATCTTGAATATTTACATCCGCGTTGTGTTCAAGTAACAATCTACAGATGTTTTCGTTACCCTTTCTGGCACACAAGTGCAAGGGTGTATATCCATCTGCATCTTGAATATTTACATCCGCGTTGTGTTCAAGTAACAATCTACAGATGTTTTCGTTACCCTTTCTGGCACACAAGTGCAAGGGTGTATATCCATCTGCATCTTGAATATTTACATCCGCGTTGTGTTCAAGTAACAATCTACAGAGGTTATCGTAACCCTTTCTGGCACACCGGTGCAAGGGTGTATATCCATCATTATCTTGAATATTTACTTCTACTTTGTTTGCAAGTAGTAATTTGATAAGATTTCCGCCACCTCTTCTGACTGAAATGTGTAGTGGTGTGAATCCAAAACTGTCCTGAACATCTACATAAGCTCCGTGCCTTACTAGCAAGCACACTGCCATATAGTTGTTCCAAACAGCCGCTAATTTTAATGGTGTTTCTTTACTCTTTTTTCTTTGGATATTTATGTCGGCCCCAAGATCAATGAGGGTCTCAATGAACTGACTTGAGGATGAACGACTCGCCTGCATCGAAACTGTGTAATCATTATCTGACGCTCGGGCATTAATATCTACACCGTCATTTAATACAAGCTCAACAGCTTGTTCCGCATCATCATTACATGTAGCCCACTGCAGCTTAGTCTGTCTACTGTTGTCCTTAGCACACTCATTATAAAGTCTTTTGATACTTTTATAACTTGGAAGTCCTTGAGCTTTTAAAACAATGTCATATTCTTCCTCTAAGACAGCCGCCTGGAGTAGATTAAATCCAGCCTTTTTATCCAATTGCGTGAAAGCTTTCCTTGAGAGTTTTTTTAGACTGACCTGTTAAAAAATGACCAAGTTTATAAGAGAAAGTGATAAAGAGGAAATCCATTTTATACTACATGTAAGTAGATTTTTGCACGGGTTGCCCTGTATTCATATTGCAGATATACGTGTTCTACACAAAATGAAGTGGTGGTAGCGGTTGTTGTCGTTACAAGTCTATGACCTCATAAGTTGACGCAGAAATGTGAGACAGTTTTTCGGGCACAATCTGCCATAACTTACTGGTTGATGAGGACACGGCCTGGCATCATTCTTCAGAAGCAACTGCACTATGGAATGGTGGTTTTGACGTTCGGCTTTTTGCAGAGGAGTACGCTGAAACTAAAAACATTATACCGAAGCAGAGTTAATTGTGTTACCCACTTTTGACTATTTATCATAGAAACATTTTAACAACGGTAATTCTACATAACTGCATATCTCCGCTTCGTCTACACAACGTGACGTAAAGGGTGATATAGGTAAGAGTTAGAGGCCGATTTCGCAGTTGGGATTAGAGCAAATTCTAGTGCAATGAAACGTTCAAATCAAAACGTGTTCTGAGAGATCATAATTTACTGATCACCGGAAATAAATTTTAGTTATTTAACAACTCTTCGTTGAGCTTTGTCCTTTGTCCAGTTATTTTCACGTGCAACCTCACGTGAACTGAACCCCATGAACTATTCGTTGTTTATTTGACCAATCACATGGCACTCTGCCATGTTCCTTAGTTTACACTCCCATGATATGCTTCGTCACTCTGTTTTCTTTTCCCTTCCATCCCACCCACTACAGTAATCAATTTCTGCGTCAACACGTGGATGTCCCTTTCGGTTTAGAGTTTCAACCTGATGCACTGATATGACATCTAATTAGTCAATTTGGTTGTCTCTATCTTGTACTTCTACTCTGAAGACAGTTGTGTTTTTCAAAAAAGGTGGGAATTGGGATAAAGTCCTCCTCTCATCACACTTTTGCCCAATAGACTCGACATTTTGTACCCCTGGAATATACATATATGTTTTATAGTGGGGGCCCTAGAGAGGCCCACGATTGCTCACAGTCGACGTTAAGGTGAGGCCCAACTCCATTCCCTATTGCGGTCTGTGCACCTTCCATATTTACCCAAGAACGGTCACAGTCGGCCCTGGAATAGGCCAAACTCCCTCCTCCATACCGGTATGTGTACCACCCTGGTGGTGAAGTCTTTTTAGCTCACAAAAATCCAGGAGTAAATGGGGCCGACCTTTTAAGATTCAGTTGAGAACTTTGTGACAAACTTTCCCCTTTTCAGCTACACCAAGTTGTTGTTTTTGTTGCTGTTTAGGATAATAATTTTGGGTCTGATCCCGAACACGAGGAAACAGATTAAGGGAAACTGGACTCTAAAAAGTTCGTAAAGTTCGTAATAAGTAAATATTTGTAAGATGTGAAGGTATTAAAAACGCAAAAAATGAAGGAAAAATTTCGAAAGTTTTGTTCTTAACTTACGGTTTAATTTTGTTCTTCCCTGATACTGTTTTTAAATCAAAGATTTCTACCACCCATTTTTCCGGTGAATAACAAATAAAAACTTGTGTATTAGCACAAAAAACCTTCACTAACAAATTACCATTGGAATAACACAAATGTGCTATGTACCATAGTAAAATAGGCGCTTGTATCAATACTGTTGCTAGGGTAAATTTAATAATTGGCCAACATAAAGAGATTCCTGTGTGAATCAGTAATACTGGACAAACAACAACCTCTCTTACCCCACCCCTTCATTGCACTATATTATTCAATTGACGAAAGTTCACTGACTCACCCTGTCCTTAGCGTTGACGTTCGCACCGTGTTCTAAAAACAGTTTGACCACAGATTCCTGTCCATACCAACAGGCAAGATGAAGAGGTGTCAAAGAAAACTACAGAAAAGAGGACAAAAAACGTAGTTTTCCCAAGAAATATTTGTTAACAAATAGAATTTTTATGTCCTTACCCGAGAAGTGTTGTTAATCGATTATTTAATATGGGTTTTTCACTTGAATGAGTAATTATCAATTCAGGACATGGTGAGTGGTTGGGGGAAATCCTTTGTACCCCCCTATAGGGCGCATTGTTGATCACGCGGGGACGCGCAGTTATGTGTCATTCTGCCTCGCTACTTCAGTGTGAAAGGACGTCGACCTATAGCTAGTTTCACCCATATGGCATCTGTGTCTTCATTGCCCAGTAAACAGAGCTCAGCCAATGCAGTACCTCAGTTTAACGTAATATAAACGAAAGAAAGATATAAATGGAGGTTGAAATAAACCACATAGTGCAGTGTAACGATGGCCTATTATAAAATAAATGGAGGGGGTGTTGTTGTACTAATTTTTAGCCTCTTTACTATGTCCTTGTTAGCTAGTTTACAAGGAAGAAACCAAGTGTAACACTAAAATTGAGCCCAATTGCAACGTTGTAGGTCACCGTCCATTAAGAATTACAAAAACTTGGCCAACATTTTTTCATTCAGAATGCTGATAGTCAGTTTATATCAGGGAAACATCGTTCAGAACATTTTCAGGATGCTATCGTAGAAAAAAGGAAACAACATCAACAAAGAAAAATAAATTTATATCATTTCCATTCGTCGTTTGGCCTTCCGTCATAATTCCTTGGCGGGCAAGTACAGTCAAGCCCCGCCCAAAGGACACCCGCTTAATACGGACACTCATATATAACGGACAGTTTCGTTTGTCCTAATGAAAAGCTCATATATGTCCTCAAATCGGCGGACATAAGTTAATCCAGACAAAGCATACTTTCTGTGTCCCGAGTCTGAGAAATTTCACAGGAGGCGTATGACAAATATCGGTTATATTTAGAGCAAATAAGCATCTTGCAGTCGCTCGTTAGTGCCTTAAGAATCTCAATGTCGTAGGTTGTTTGGATCTCAGAGCTTTCCTACTTGATAAAAGTGACATCTAAATTATTGGAGTGGATAAGACCGTAGCTGACTAAAACAGGTGTTGATGTAAGGACAAGGTCGAGGACGTTTTGAATCTTCGGACATGTCGATGAGTGTGCACTTAAGTTAACAATAAACCAAAGCCTAATTAGGCCATGGCCAGAGATCGAAGGAGAGGAGATAGATTTCTGGCCAATAGGTACAGAAGAAGACAAGGCAAGACAAACGGGGAAAATTCAGTTGATTTTTTTGGAGTGATTGAAACCTTTTAAAGTCCCTTTGTGTGATTAGGCCGCACTTGATGTGGCACCAAAATTCGCAGGAGTCGCAGGATGGGAACGATGGTTTCGAGCGACGGAATTTCCACAATCAGAGTATCTTTCCGGGCCAGGATTCAAGCTAATGTCGCCACTAGTAGTTAATCTCGTCAGTTGAGAGGTAGAATCAGAGTTCGGGTAAAGAATTAACTTGAAGGACAGATAACTTGCACTCCTAGAACAAGCCAATTCAAGATGACGCTTCAGCCGGTCAAGAAGAGGCGAGTGGAAAAGTGGTTTAACAGAGTCATGGTGAGAATTAAAGCCTCCAGAAACTGGGACATGATGATTATGAATAAAAGCTTCAAATTGGTAGAGCCCGAAAAAGACACGTCTTCGCGCTATGAACACGACCGCTGACGTATGCTGAGAACAATAAAACACGTCCTACAAAAGACGCTTCTGAATTAGGACGGCATGTTTCACATAGGACGCGAAGAGCTCGTATAAATGGTTCGCGTCTTGTTCGAGTCTTATATCCGGGCAAAGGCATTCCAACATAACAAGTGTTATAATAACGTGGCTTAAAATTAAATTAACATATTAAACTTTACAAGACACAAACCTGATCTTTTTTATCCACATCTTCACCACTTTCAAGGAGTACTTTGATTGTTTCGAACTGTCCATTGATAGCAGCCTTGTGCAGAGGGCCTCTCGACGCCTGTATTTTTAAATCCATTAGTCAGAGAGCAATCTTAATTATACCTTACACTATTGGTCCAGCTACTCCCGCTAATGAATGGATATTTTCTGCCAATAAACAGCAAAAGGTGTTATTTCTCTCCTTTTCTACAACTTTACTATCTGTACCTCTATGAATACTTTAGATAATAACTGAGAACTGAAAATACGTCCTCCGGGGCGTTCCATGGTAAGTTGGCTCTCCAAGTGTACAATGAAAATTATTTTTTACTATTCCTTTGAGTTTCACGTGTGATAAATGGGTGCAGATAAAAAAATTGGCGGCTTTTGTTCTATGGTCAAATCTCACCAAAAGAGAAGAAATATGAAACATTTCCCCGTGCCAAGAAAGAAGCAGCCGTCGGAAACGTGTTAAAACTTGTACACGTAAGTATAATCATATCGTTATTGTAAGGGAAATATGCACTAGCTATACGCAATGTGCCGCTTCTCCTAAACGAGCAAGGGGGGCTCCACGTGTTTAATTCCTTTTAGATACGTAAGCTACCAACAACAAAAATCTCAGTGCAGGTTATATATCAGAGAAATGACCTTACGATTTTTCAACTCATAGTTAACAGGCGTCTGCTGAGTTTAACTTATGTGCAAGTCGTTAACAATATGGCATTTCCAGACCAGCCCTAGAGTGACGTTTTTCTTATTTTCTCTTGCTTTGTAAAAATGCACAAGTTCACACTGCACCACATATCCCACTGAACTTACCTTTGCCTTCTCAGCTCTCTCCATATGAATCAGGACTTGCTTCTTGTCCTAGGATGATTAAAAAAGAAAATATTTCTGAACTGCGTTTCTTGTTCGCAACTACACAATAAACTCCTGAATGCTCGCTATGTACTTATACACCTTCGAACAATTTACTAACGAAAGATGGGTCACTTGAAGATTATAAAAAATACAACGAAGACTACCAAATAGCGATCAATAAGCGCTCTTCCCCGAATAAGGGCCTACCCCCTTGGCCAAAGTAGCGGAGATAAATCCGCGGTGGAACTTAGCCACAAAATTTAGAGAAACCCCAAAATTTTGCACAGTTGTTACGAAAACAGCGAAAATAACAAAAATTACAAAATTTTGCCGGTCCATCGACGAAAAGTAACAGAGAAATGAAAATGAGGTAATGGAAGGCCCTCGACGAGACAGCGAAAATTACAAAACCAACGAAAATTGCGAAAATAACGAAACTTTCTTCAGTCCATCAACGAAAAATTAACGGGAAAAGAAATGACACAGAGGCGACAGAGGCCAAAAAATACGAAAACAACAGGTGTGGTTACACTAGCCATTTTACCAAAGGGAAAATGGCTATTGCCCATGGGGAAGCAGCTTTTTGTGTGTGACCGGTTTCCCCAAGGTGAGTTTGCCTCGGGAGAAATTTTCATGGATACGTCAGAAGAACAACAAAACAGACCAACTTCGATAAATTAAAATTCACACTTAGCTACGAGACTTGTGGGAATAAAACAAAAAAAATGTATTCTTCATTACTAACTGAGCTTCAAGATGATTTCTTTTGTTTTATTCCCCATTAGTAAGCCTCGGAGTGCAGCCAGTTGTGATTTAATACTTCCAAGATAAAAATTGTTAAAGGGGAGGGGGATTTCTTGACCTCTATATATATCATTTTGTTCTGTTGAATAAACCTAAAATTAAACTGTAACGAATAGTTTTGGTCCTTTGACGCTTTCACGATTTTAAAAATCAAAACTAATCGTAATCGTAACTAATGTACTGCGAGTAAATACTGATACTTCATCATAACGTAATGAATGTACTCTAAATTGGGCATTGGCATACCAACAATTTTATGATTGCTTGCAGTGAATCTATTGAGTTCTTTGCGATTTACTCCTTGATAACCATAACCTGAATAATCGGCGACTTGACCTTAAGGTGGCCCGAACCTACTATATGCGCGTTGGTTATGTTTTTGACTGAATGAGGTTTTCGCAGGAAGGATCGAACCGATTTCTATGATTTTTGGTATTCTTAATAAAAAATAGTGAAACTTCAAGAAATCTTTATTTATTTTCTTGTAAGTATAAACACATTTGAGATATCGGCGTAGGTATATTCAAAACAGCCTTTTTACGAAAAATGTAAATGAATTCGAAATCCTACGTCAGACTCTTCCCTACCTTTAGCAAATCAGCCTTAGAGATCTGGGCCCAGTTGCATAAAACGTCACTTAAGTACTCATGATGGGTGCACTTACTGGTGTTGCATAGTACGCACTTATCACTCTCGTAAATTTTTGTTTTACGTGGTAAGTTACGGGCTCAGCTAAGGGCATACGTAACTTTGTCATAGAAGTACTCTATTTATGACCCACTCCTTTTTTAAGTTCCTCGTTTTTGATCATCGGTGAGTAAAGAAAGTGTCTAGTCGTTTCGAACACTTTTAAGCCTCTTTTTAATGACTTAAGTGAACACTTACGAAAATCGTAAGTGAATTCCCCAAGTGGACCACTGAAGTGAATGTTTAATGCAACTCACTTAAGTTACAAGTTCACGTATGTATACCCGTAGTTGTTACTATTTTCATCTGCGCTTAAAATAATAAAATTAAATTAAATTAAAAATAAAAAATACACATTAAAAAAAAGTGAATATACATTTGTCAACACTAGCATTTAAAAAGTAACTTATATTACCTTCACAAAGCGTTTGACATACCTTGATTTTTTCCTTCATAGCTTTTAAGGCTGAAATGAGACGAGAACGGAAAGACCCTCTTCGCTTGGAACGCAGCGAACGCACGATCTGTAGGGTGTAATGAATAGAGCGTTTTTACTCATGTGGCCCTTGACGTTTAGAACTTTTTGGTCCTTGCACAAGGACGAAAGATCCAATCAATATAAAACATAGGCACGCTTAACGTGCATGAGCTATTTTGAATGCTTCAGTGTGTAACCTTTTTTGTGCAAAGTTGGGTATTGCTGTTCATTTATGGAAACGCGAACCACTCCGTACAGCTGAGTCGATTTTCATACTACAGATTCACTTTTCTCTGTCTTTCCCTCGGACATGTGGTGCAAAATAAACAAATTGTTAAAGTACTATGAATATCAACTCACCAAGCGTTGCTTAGGGGAAAGACTCGAAGGTTTCAAGGTTTCATCATGGTTTCTTAAGATAACGAGGCTCGTCGAATATCGAATAGCTGAGAAATTATTGTACATGGTTGCATTAGCATTATTCACGAGGTTGTCACGTGCGATTCTACTCAATGAAACCTTTTACTCTGACGAAAAGAGCCTTCACTAAATGCAACCTTAAGTTTGATAGACTAACATTTATTTCCTTGCAAGAAAATTCTGAAACTGTCAAAATATATTTCTACTCATACCATGTTATCCCCCTGAATAAAAGAATATCTTATTATTTTGTCAACTAGCTTCTTCCAATTTTATTCCGTAACTCACCTAACGCTATCGTCTCTACTTAAGATACGCATCTTTACTATATAACGCTTCTATTGGCTGGTTACAAACACGCCACAATCGTCTAGTTTGACAGAAAATTCTTTTTGTAAATCTGAGGAAGAAAATTTGCTTATTTACTCGTGAAAGATCAATGGAAACTAAGCAGAAACAAAAGTAAAAGAGACTTAAAGTCCACCTAAAGTTAAAATACTCACATATTCGTAAGAAGTCGTGGAGCATGGTTTGAATTCGCTGAAAACGTGTTTATGTTTTGCTTTGCTAAATCCAGAAAACTTGGAGTTTTTTTTAGCGAAGACGACAGTCATCTTACTTTATATTCATTTACGAACAATGGCTGAACAATGGCTGGTCATTACGGCTTCTTGAAAAGACCTGGCAGCAGTTGTTTCTGTGAGTAATAAATTTATGTCTTCTTGCGGTGTAATTTATCTTGCTATTGCAAGAGTAATTTTCCTGCTTCAATCGGATTGTTCGGCGATAACAAAAGCGCATAATTTTTCGCTATTGAGCTTATTTCATAATTAACATGTTTTTTAAAGCAAAAACAAAAGTTAAAAAAGGAGGACACTTTATACAAATTGGATATTTCCCGACACAAACCAACTTGTGGTCTTTTTCCAGCGGAATGTCAGTCTTTACGGCAGACTTTTCAACGATTTAGGCTCTAATTATTTGCGAAACATCTTCGCCGTTTTTTGCTGTTGGTTTGAGTGGCTAGAAGCTAAATTGCAAAAATGAGAGAAAGTTTTGCCTCATTGCCGTCGATTTTTGGGTATTTCGTACTTAGGATAAAGAGACGAAAAAAACATCGTCGACCCCAAGTTTATCAGTTGAATTACTGTCACGAGTTCTCGACATAAAATATGGTTGCTTTACCATTTTTACCTTTAAGTACTTTTTACACCCAAAATGTGAACGAAGGATTTGCCTCACCATGTTAAATTTTGCTTAAGCCTTAGCGACATTCGCTTTGTTGCAACAGACACGTAGCAACGTCTAGAGTGCTAAAATACAGTCTTAACTTCCCAATACAGCCTTAACTCTCCTTCTCCCCCGACGTTCGCACAGTTGGAATGAGACTTCGCACTGGAGTCCACATCATCTGGAAAATGAAATTAATTCTAGCTTCATGCGAAAGCGTGAATTTAAAATACTCAGTATACACACTAGGCTTTGTGAGAGTGAAGTTTCAAAACAAGTATCATCGACAGAAGGTCAAAACATGACCCACGAGATAGCCTAAGTGAAATAAAAAACAAACAAGGAACTTTCACAAACTTTTCTAGTATAATTTAAAGTATATAATTATAAGAACTTACTTTTCCCACGTACGTGAAGGGGCAAGGGTAAATAGAGAAGTGCACATGGAAAACCACTTTGCGTGTACTTCTACTTCCTACTTCTCGTAGCAGGCCGAGTGAAAGGCTTCTTTGTACCATGTGTTTGATTAACCGGTAAAAACCATATTTCATATCACCTTTTATTCTCGTGCGAGTTTAAATCCACGATTTCTCATAAAAATTCAATAATATCTTGCTATTTTAGGAAGTCAATATAACATAGGTAATGATGATGATTATGAAACTATTGGGTTACACAAATTACAGGTAAAACAAGTAGTTTACATTATGGCCCGAGAGGTACATCATTGTAACTGTTGGCCTTCTCTTTGATATATATACTTAACAAAACTCCCAATTTTGAAGGAGCAAAATATCCAGGCGTCCTTCAGGCGTCCTACATCCCTCTCTCCAATGGTCACTCAAGGTTCATGTTAACAATGAAACAAAAAATCCTCTATCACTTTGTTCTGTTGGATAAACCTAAAATTAAACTGTAACGAATAGTTTTGGTCCTTTGACGCTTTCACGTGTTTTAAAATCAAAACTAATCGTAATCGTAACTAATGTACTGCGAGTAAATACTGATACTTCATCATAACGTAATGAATGTACTCTAAATTGGGCATTGGCATACCAACAATTTTATGATTGCTTGCAGTGAATCTATTGAGTTCTTTGCGATTTACTCCTTGATAACCATAACCTGAATAATCGGCGACTTGATCTTTAAGGTGGCCCGAACCTACTATATGCGCGTTGGTTATGTTTTTGACTGAATGAGGTTTTCGCAGGAAGGATCGAACCGATTTCTATGATTTTTGCGATAGCGATACCATGTTATCCCACTCAATAAAAGAATATCTTATTATTTTGTCAACTATAGCTTCTTCCAATTTTATTCCCTAACTCACCTAACGCTATTGTCTGTACTTAACTTACGCATCTTTACTAAATAAAATACGTTTCAATAAATATAATAACTCCTAAGCACCGAGCAGGTATCATGTTCACCTAATTCATGTTTTTTGTTTTTTTTTTGCCGGAACTTAAAAGGTCTGGTGAACTTTGTAAGCGAGAGAATAAAGCTTGTTTACAGGATTCGCTTACTCGTTAGGCTTTTAAAACATAAGCTGCCTTTCGAACTTTTAAACCACAATTTATAGGCCGCATACTTCCGAATTGAAATTTATATCTGAATATTAATTATTGTTTCATTAGAAGAACTTTGAAAAATATTTAAGAATTTGTCATGTTCAGCGTGCGTATATCGAGTTGTGGATGCACGCGGGAAGTTTGGAGAGCACGAAAGATGCGTAAGAGTTGCTCGAGGCGCAGCCGAGAGCAACTCTAGCTTCTTGAGTGCCTTCCAATTGCGTCCATAACTCGATGTACGCACAGCTAAAAGCATGAGCAAATTCTTTTATAACATAGCTGATTAACTGCAAATTCTCGCAACGCGCGACACAGAAAAACAAACGCTTCTATTGACTGGTTACAAACACGCCACAATCGCCTAGTTTGACAGAAAATTCTTTCTGTAAATCTGAGAAAGAAAATTTGCTTATTTATTCGTGAACGATTAATGGAAACTAAGCAGAGACAAAAGTAAAAGAGTTTTAAAGTTTATCTAAAGTTAAAATACTCACATACTCGTAAGAAGTCGTGGAGTATGGTTTGAATCCGCTGAAAACGTGTTTATGTTTTGCTCGGCGAAATCCAGAAAACTTGGGGGTTTTTTTAGCGAAGACGACTGTCATCTTATTTTATATTGATTTACGGCTAGAAGCTAAATTCCAAAAATGCTAGAAAGTGTTTCATCATTGCCGTCGATTTTTGGGTACTTTAATAGTACTTAGGATAAACAAACGAAAAACACAGCTGAACACGTCACCATGGAAAAAATCTTTATCTACGCACGGGCGTGTGTAAAATAGCGGCTCAATAGGACTTATATGGGGCAAGCACGCGCGCTATGTTATAAATGATCTTTTCTACTCAACCTTGAAGCAGGTGAAATACGTGCATTGTATCGTTCGCGATAGCAGAAATGTCTTGAAGCAGCACCCACACTAAAATATGAACCCTTTAACAGCTGCATCACCGTACATTGCGTTTGAATCATGAGGATACTTAAATCTCATGCTTCTAAACATCTGCATTCGTAATAAAAGACGAGAAAAATGATTGACCTTTAGCAATGTTTCTTAGGTTTGGATACCAAAATCTCATTGGTTCCTAAGCATCAACTCATAGTAACTTCAATCTTATTGGCCTCTGCGACACACATCCGAACAGACAAAGCCACAAAGCAACAAAGAAACCTACGCTCCCACCACTGACATATCGGCTGTTTTTTGAAAACGAAATAAACCAACACAACTAATTTTGATCTTACTTACTTGATTAACGCTTTGGCTGTGGGACGTTAATACATTTACAGACATAACATAGTATTCCACATACACTATGGCAAGATATTAACACGGTTTTTTGTTTTTCAAAAACTATTAGGTGACTACAAATCACCATTATTCGGTTACCGAATAACACGTCACCGATTAGACATAATATTGAAGGTAAGCAAATGAATGAGCGGCACTTTATAACATGCAGTTAAATACAATTTAACGGAGTTAACAACAAGGAGCGCTTGTTTCACCCTGCTGGCCAGCGGTGTGTGCGAGATGCGCCTGTACCAAGGTCCGTCATGCTCTGGGACCTGTGTGCATCTTAGCGTGGTACAGTGCATTTAGCGTTCAGCCATTCAAAAAAATCTTTAAGGAGGGGGCCCACTTCGCTAATAGGTGCTTTAATAATTTAAAACTAACCACATTTTATTATTAACACTATCATTAATTAAAAAGCGAAAATGCATCGTAAAACCTATGTATATAGAAAAATGGTTGGCAGGCTTCTTTCCATTTCTTTTTTTGAGAGTCCCACTATCCCGTGATATCATAATTTAACCGGACCGCTTGGCGAAAATCCTTCCGTAATTCAATACATGGACTGCAACTCTTTGGCAGAAAAATTAGTCGGCTTGAAGGAGCGACAGTAGCGATTTCATGCAATTACAATACGACGATCTAAATGGAATATGACAATCACTTATCATTTTATTTTGTGCTAAGAGTATAATTTAAGTAACCTTGCCAAAACATTGATGCCTCACCTTGCTTTCTTCCTCCATCTCTGACATTGATCCTGAACCAGAATCAGCTCCACTGTAGCGAGCGCTGAAAGACCTTCTGCGCTCAGAACGCGGCCAACCCACAATCTGTAAGGTGTAATAAATAGAACGTTTTTACTCGCGTGGCCTGCAGTTAAGCATATTTTCTGACAGAAAAGAAAGTGTTTACGTATGAAGAGTTCAAATTTCAGAATATTAGTTTTACGACACCGACATGGCGGACGCAACGTCGTGTGAAAAAGGTGTCAGAAGCTAGTTGCTTTCAGATGGTAGAACGTGACTTGATGGCGACCACCACAGGCGAAAAACGTTCAATTCGATAC